AACACATTTGGATATCAATCCACAACACGATAATGGTTTCTCAGACTTTGCCACTTAAACAAGGAAGTATAGTACTCGGTTAGGAACTGAGTTCCCGACTTCGTACTTTACTCAAATTGGTCACTTGTAATCGATAGAGGTCGGCCTGACCCCTATACCGTGGTCGCTTTATAATCGGTATAGCTCGACCTTGCCCCTATACCGTGATCGCTTTATAATCGGTATAGCTCGACCTTGCCCCTATACCGTGGTCACTTTATAATCGGTATAGCTCGACCTTGCCCATGTACCGTGGTCGTTTTATACACGTGTGCCTCGACCTTGCCCACACACGGGATCAACTAAGTCCTAGAGGACACAACGACCACTCTAAGGGACAACTTCCCAAGGAAGGTTTTTCAACAAATTGGGCTCTCAGAGCACCACAACTGTCTCAATCCACACAATGGGATGAGCAACTTCGAAAACATCTCTCCTAGTCCTAGTGATCAACAACTTATCATCACAGCTTTATCAGCTTATAACTCAAACAACACAACTTTACAACAATAGGCATCTTAACAACTTTACAACAATAAGCAACTTAACAACTTTACAACAATAAGAAACTTAGTCATCAATCTCAACTTTAACAACACCGTTTATCAGCACACCAACTCATCAACGCTATTTAACAACACATGGCACAACATACAACTTTTTAGCAACATATAACTCTCCTCTAACAACTTGACAACACAGTCTATTAATAACATCTCATCATATTTCACAACATAAACATGTCCACACATATAACAACCTTATCAACTTAACTACAATATGCATCTCATTTTCATCATAAAAGCATCACCAACAACATCATTAATAATTATTTAATCACATATTAACAACACACAATGTTTTCATCACATAACACCACCCATATTACATATTTACAACCCTTATATCATGCCAACATAAATACCCAAACAATGTTAATCAACCTAAGCACCAAAATGAGTTCTCAACTCACATACAACTAACAACTTTACAATCTAGCTTCTCTTACCCGAAGATTGGCTCAACATTTCCAAGAGCTGAGAAGAAGTGGAATTTCCTTCCGAAGCTCAACCAGGGCCTCCATCTTTCAAAAGCAAGCTTTTTGGCCCAGAGTCCTTCTCTCTAAAACTTCTCTCTAAGTTCCCATTTTCTCCCCCCCCTCAACACCTATTTATAGAGGTTTAGGAGTGGCCAGAACGGCCTGTTCCGAATCCGGAACGGCTCGTTCTGTACTCTTCCATCATGTGTAAAAATCACATGCAGAACGACCCGTTCTGAAATCAGAACGGCCCGTTTTGGGACTCATCCAGAACGGCCTGTTCTCCATCCAGAACGGCCTGTTCTCCATCTAGAACGACGCATAAGTTGTTGGTGAGTTGATTTGTTGTTGATATGAGTTGTATATTTGTTGTTGTGTTGTTAAGCTATGATTGTGTTGTATTGTTGACCTTGTTGAGGATGACGATAATGTTGTTATGTTGTAAGTTGAAATGAATGTTAAGATGTATAGTATATATATATATATATATATATATATATATATATATTGTTTGTCTCAAGTGTCGAATGCGAAGGTGATTATATAGTTGTCATGTTGAATATTAAATTATTATGATTTGTTTATTGTCTCTAGCAGTCTAGCTTACCCTTGTATGTCTCCATGTGGTTTGGACTGCGATGATCATAAGTGGTATGGTAGCAGGGCAGGGATAGGCTGGGAGGTAGCTGCCAGAGGCCACAGGAAGTGCCTGAAGATGGATATTTTTGTAGGCTACCTTATAGTAGCAGATTTTCTTGTTTATAACTAGTTGTTTGTTGCTTGATTAGCAACTTGTGTTGTAAATATTTATTAATTATTTTAGTATATTTTGGAGCAGTAAGTAATGTTGTTTCGTAGTGTAACAGCCATGGCGGGTCGTTACATGTATGATAGTATTAATATTTATGGATATTTATTAAATAATATTATTTAAATATTTATATTTATATTATATATTTTTGTGTTATTTTTAATATTTAAAAAATATAATTAATTATAAATTTAAAAATTAATATTTATTATTTATATTTAATATTTTAATATACTTAATATCAAATATAAATTTAATACTAATTATAATATTTTTAATTTTTAAAATAATTCACAAATATTTATATATACATAAATATTTATAAAATTTACAAATATCTATTAAATTAATATCCGCATAAATATAAAATGTATACAGGATAAAATTTTTATCTAACAGATGGGATACAGACTGCATTATCATCCCTACTCTAATCTCTCATTTTTATTTATTAAATTAAATTTCTTTGACTTGAAATCGACACATAATATATTTTGTTCTGATTCCTTCTAAAATGAACATAGTTTAATTTAAAATTAAAAATTAAACGAAAAAAACAAAGAGTGAACAGAATACCACCCCTCTTGCATTCATGATTCATGGGTTGACTAATATTATATTTACATCGTACAATAATTTAACTTTGTGACACTTTAGAATGAGAGTGATGTTGTTGACGTGAGTCACTACTCACCGTTCATCATCATCGCAAACATTAGCGCGCCACGTGAGAGTCACATCGAACAAAGACAACACATGCAAATGCCTTCAAATTCAATTAATTTATTCCAACTCGCCTGATTTTTCTTACATTCAATTACCAGCGACTTTCCCTGCTTCGTCATATCACTAAACCAGTGGATTATCAACACCTTTTCCATTTTCAAATATATTATTTTCTTCGTTTTTTTAACTAGTTGTTTGATTGTCTACCTTTTCAAATATATATATATATTTTTTACTTTTTCTTTTTTTGATATATTTACATCCCTAATTACTTAAAGTTAGAAAACGTTACATTTTTTGTGTGTCGGATAGTAGAAATGATTATGTAAAGCATGTAATAATTACATTTTTATTTTAAATTGAAATTCTTAGTAAGGAAAAATAGTTTAGCAATTCAACTAATTTTATATACATACGTTAAAAATATTAGTGAGGCGATTATGTAAGGCATGTAATGTAATGTTCCCTTTTTTTAAAATGTTTCGGGATTAATAAATGCGTATTAATAAATATTCATGATTATTTAATGAATTAAAAAAAATTCAATAATTATAAAACAAAAATGAAGAAATAAAATTTAACATCACATGTCATAATTTTATTTAATATTTTGATTTGATTTTCATACAAAATTTAAATATCTCAAATAATATTTTAGTTTAAATATATAATTGGTAAGCATTGTGATATTTATTTCAGCGTCTTCGTTTCTGATGGCTCTCCCTTAACTGTTTTTGTCATTCCTACCTATTCACAGTTGTAAGATTTGAAAGATTAAAAAAGTAAACGTAGCCTAAAAAAAGAACAATCTATCATTGAAACTGTGGTTGACTGTCATAATTGTTTCTAAAATTTGAATATACTATCTGATTCTTATTGTATTTAAAAAAAAAAATCAAATACATATTTCACTCACTTAAATTAATTAGTTATAATTAATAATGTTAAAATTTAAAATTTTGTTTTAAAAATATTTATAAAATTAAATAGAATTCGTAATAATTATTTTTAATTATACTACTCAAAAGTTAAAGAATAATTTTTCAGGTAATAGCATGATTTATAGTGTTAATTATCTAATTAATACATATATTTTTATTTAAAATTAATGAATGAGAGATTCATAATAAATTAAGAATATAAAAAATAATCATGCATGGTAGTATTATGTTTCTTGTAATTAAGATCAAAATAATACACTCATTTATTTCTTATATATATAAAATAATATTAAATAAATCTCCTATAAATTGTAATTATTATTCTTTTAGTTTCTTATATGTATAATTTATTATTATGTAAAATTTACAACATATTATCGATAATAAAGGCAATGATAGAGAGTAATATGATTAACATATTTAAATTTTAGAAATTTATTTGATATATTATTTTAATTCTAAGAACTACTATATATGATTTTAAAGAATAAAATGATAGTAGTTTATTATGTATAAAATGAATTGAGTTAAGATTTTTGCATTTTTAAGTGGATTGATTTTTAAATTTTAACGTTGGAGCTTAATTTATATATTTTTTAAGATTTAATTTGACTTATTCAAAAAAATTTATTCAATATTAAAATTTCTTAAACGAATCGTTCTACCTAAATTTATATCTAAGTTATTATATTTAAGTACTTAAATACATCCATAAAATTATTATATCAAAATATATACAAGTATGAACAACCGCTTATCTCTTCAAATTACAATATATATGACCATAGTTCTACAGTTCACAAACCATAATGAGTTATATTTCAGTCTTTTTGTTATTACTGTAATTTCCATCGATAACAAAATTAATTAATCTGAAGGTGAGCAATTAATGTTTATAGCTTTCATAAAATTTATTATTGAAGTACGCGACTTTTTTTTTCTTTTTCTTTTTACAAAATCTATGAATTATAAAAATAGTATAATATTGAAGAATTTACAGGTTTGCATCAATTAAGTAAAAGAAAAAAGATTTAAATATGTAAATTTAATTTTAGTCGTTCAGATTTAAAATAAATCTTTTTAATTATAAATAAGATTATAATTTGCATATTAAAAATATGAATTTATTATAAATTTTAATTATATAAAATAAATATTGTATTAAAAATTAAAATAATACCAGTTACGGTTTTCCATTTGGTTTTGGCGTCGATTATTCTCATTGGGACCAAACAACTCTTTCTAATCATTTTGCATTTTTCTTTCCGCTTGCCCGTCGAAAGTAGACACAAAACCTCGTTCGTCTTGGATCATTCCAGATCATAGTAGAAAGAAAGACACAAACATAGAAAAAAGTCGAAAAACCAAAAGAGAAACCCACTCACGAGTCACGACACAAAAAGTGAAACAAAACACTAAACCGCCCCTAGTAAATGCCAATACAACACCCTTCCATTTCCAAGCTACTCCCACCGTGTTGCTGTTACCACTTACCATACATATATATAAATATCTTCTCATTCTCATTTCTACAACCCAAGTATAAGAAGAAAAAAAACACAAACCACTCAACTTAGTTCTATTTCTCACAACACTTTTCCAACCGAAACATTTACTCACTCACTCACTCGTGATGGATACAAAGATAGGTTCGTTGGACGCGGCCAAGCCCGCCAGCAACGACGTCGTATCGTGCAACCAGACAAACAGCACTGTTATCCAGCCCTGCGTGCCGGTGGCGCGCGGCGGGGACTCCACTCTGGGCGGGCACCTGGCGCGGCGGCTGGTGGAAGTCGGCGTGACGGACGTGTTCTCCGTTCCCGGCGACTTCAACCTGACGCTGCTGGACCACCTCATCGCGGAGCCGGCGCTGAACGTGGTCGGCTGCTGCAACGAGCTCAACGCCGGGTACGCCGCCGACGGGTACTCGCGGGCGCGCGGCGTGGGCGCGTGTGTGGTGACGTTCACCGTGGGCGGGCTGAGCGTGCTGAACGCGATCGCCGGAGCGTACAGTGAGAACTTGCCGCTGATTTGCATCGTGGGTGGGCCCAACTCCAATGACTACGGCACCAACCGGATCCTCCACCACACCATTGGGTTACCCGATTTCAGCCAAGAGTTGAGGTGCTTTCAAACTGTTACTTGTTTTCAGGTACTAAATTTCTCTTGCTCACTCTTTACTTTTTCTCATGTGGTGTTTGCTGTTAAGTATTGGAAAAAACCAAATTTCAACCTTCTAACATGGTTTCAAAACCTTATCTATATTATGGATCAACTGGTGGGAGGCTCTTCTAACTTGATCAGTGATCTTGATTTGAGTACTAATTACGTAGCTGTGTTAATTATTCGGAGAGTAAGCTTTGCCACTCATAGTGGTCTTATCTTGTTTGAACAAGATTGCCGATAGTGTCATGTGCCATGCTGTTAAAGGGGTGTATCGAGAAAAATTCAAGTCTACATGAATATTGATAAGATCAAAATAAAGTATATAAGTGGGAAGTAATTCTCACATTATAATTTGGTTTTGCATGATTGAGCTACATTTTAAGAATAAATTTATCCAAACAAGGATTGAGTTGTGTAGATTTTGTTTTGTTTTGAGTTGTATTGAAATTTTTTGTTTATTTATTTAATGGGGAAGGTGTTAATGTGGTTTTGTTTGATGATAGGCTGTGGTGAATAACTTGGATGATGCTCATGAGTTGATTGATACAGCAATCTCGACCTCACTGAAAGAAAGAAAGCCTGTGTATATAAGCATAGGTTGTAACTTGCCCGGGATTCCTCACCCCACTTTCAGTCGTGACCCTGTTCCTTTTTCATTGTCTCCAAGGTGAGCGTTTTTGTTTTTTTTTGTTTTTGGTTTTGTGCTTGATTGGAAATGTTGATGATTCGATGTTAATTTTTGTGTTTATTTGTTTCTTTTGTAGATTGAGTAACAAGATGGGGTTGGAGGCAGCAGTGGAGGCAGCTGCGGAATTTCTTAACAAGGCAGTGAAGCCAGTGCTGGTTGGTGGTCCTAAACTGAGGGTGGCCACAGCATCTGATGCCTTTGTTGAACTGGCTGATGCATGTGGTTATGCACTTGCTGTGATGCCATCGGCGAAAGGGATGGTTCCTGAGCACCATCCTCATTTCATTGGAACTTACTGGGGTGCTGTGAGCACTGCATTCTGTGCTGAGATTGTGGAGTCTGCGGATGCATACTTGTTTGCCGGTCCCATCTTTAATGACTACAGCTCTGTGGGGTATTCCCTTCTTCTGAAGAAGGAGAAGGCGATCATTGTGCAGCCGGATCGGGTTGTGATCGCGAATGGGCCTGCATTTGGGTGTGTGCTGATGAAGGATTTCCTCAAGGCACTCGCGAAGCGCCTCAAGCACAACAATACTGCATATGAAAATTACCACAGGATATATGTCCCTGAAGGGCATCCTTTGAAGGCTGCACCCAAAGAGCCTTTGAGGGTCAATGTTATGTTCAAACATATACAAAACATGCTGTCTGGTGAAACTGCTGTAATTGCTGAGACAGGGGACTCCTGGTTTAACTGCCAAAAGCTGAAATTGCCAAAGGGATGCGGGTAAGTACATGATAGAATGTGAATCTGATGTTTAGTATTTATTTATCATCTTGTTTTTTGAGTGCTTATAGCGTTAATAAAAATTCTTGTTGTCAGGTATGAGTTCCAAATGCAATATGGCTCAATTGGATGGTCTGTTGGTGCAACTCTTGGTTATGCTCAGGCTGTTCCTGAGAAGCGAGTGATTGCCTGCATTGGTGATGGAAGCTTTCAGGTTTGTTTTGCTTAACTACTTAAACCATGATTTCCATCAGAATGTAATATATTTTTCCTCCAGCATTTCTAAATTTTCGCTCAAATAAGATTCTCGAACTGAACTATGATGATGTTATAATCTTCTACTTTTTAAATGTTCCGCAGGTGACTGCTCAAGATGTATCAACAATGCTGCGGTGCGCGCAAAAGACCATCATCTTCCTGATTAACAATGGTGGATACACCATCGAGGTTGAAATTCATGACGGGCCGTACAATGTGATTAAGAACTGGAATTACACCGCTTTGGTTGATGCAATCCACAATGGTGAAGGGAAATGCTGGACTGCCAAGGTGAGTTTCTTGACATTGGACAATTCTATTAGAGATATAGCATATTAGTATTATTAGAAACCACTATATAAGTCATATTTGTACTCATGCCAAATGAGAAAAATCAGGCTAAATAAATGCATTATCCTCAAAATTCATGCTGTAATAAATAACATGGGAGAAGTGTTTGAATACAACGTAACGATTCATTCATGTTGAAATCATTTCAGGTCTTCTGTGAAGAAGAGCTAGTTGAAGCAATTGCCACAGCTACAGGACCCAAGAAAGATTCCTTGTGCTTCATTGAGGTGATTGTTCACAAGGATGACACCAGCAAAGAATTGCTTGAATGGGGCTCTAGGGTCTCTGCTGCCAATAGCCGTCCTCCAAATCCTCAATAAACTTCAGACTTCAGCCTATGATTAAATTGCTGCAGTTTCCCTTTAGCTTTATGGTAGTAAGAATCATTTGAATTGAAATGACCTTGTACGGAATTTGCTTTTGTTAATGGCTTGCAACGTTTATGCATCTGAGTCCATTTGTTTGTGTAAATTCTTTCACATGAGATGAAAATATATCCGTCGCCTTTTGTCATTCTACAATACTTCAAGATTCTTTTGTAAAGCATCGTTTTTTCTCCTTTGCTTTTTGGTACGCTTTGTTAAAAACTTCTTTACATGGGTTGATTCGAAAATGTGCGGTTCAATTGAGATGGTTAGATTTTAATTTTTAGGGTGAAAATGGTTTAATTTATTTTGCTGTTATCAGTGGGAGGGCCAGTGCCAGTCACATCTGTGAACACTAGCTAAACAACGAAATTTCCTCACCAAATTTTACACTATTGCTCATTAGTCATTGATGATGCATGAGTTGCAGAATATGGGGTTTTTTATAAGATAAAATTCAGATACAGTATTATACTGTTAGTGATGTTTTAGAGTTTTTTATTCGGATTAAAACAGTCCCCACAATTTACAAATCACCACTTGATTCACATACATATTTCATATTTGTTTCGATTGTGTCCTTTTGTATGGTGAAATGTGTCAGAGTAGGTGACAGGGATTCCACGTGGAGTTTTGACTTTAGATTCTCTACTGACTATGCCCCTGCAGCCTCTACAGCAATGTATAAAAAATATTTTTTTAATCCTGTGAGTGATTTGAACATTAGATAAAAAGGAGAAGATAAAATATTTATAGTAAGATTTAGTTATCAATTATTGGAATGAAAATATTTTCGTTCTTAGTTCCAGCCTTCCAGGGTAGGTAAATGAAATTTAGCTACGAATTTGCATAATTTTGGGTTATCAAAAGAATATCTTTTAGGAGAGAATTTTTAATTTTATATTTAATATAATTTTTTTATAATTATTTATAAATTAAAAATTGATGTTTTAAAATAGATTATGAATATTTTTTTTATTATAATAAAAATTATTTATCAATATCAATATAATTTATATATTTTAAAAAAAGTATTTACTAAATTTTAAATATATTCAAACATAATACTTATTTATATATATAATTCATTTTAAATTTTAATCACATATAATAATATTTAACATGTGCAGTTTAATATAGATGTATTAAATTATGATTTAAAAGGATTGTAAAAGATTTTTTATTATTAAAAAATCTTGTAATATTTAATAAAAAAATTTAAATAAAAAGTCATGTAATATTTAATTAAAATGATTAATTTTTTAAAAATATGTCAAAATTTAATAATATTCAATTAAAACAATCAAGATTATTTTAAGAATATTTCAAAATTTAATGATATTCAATACAATTTTATTTATTTATTTTTATTTAAGAAAATATTTTGGTATTAAAAAAATAGATATTTTATTGAATTATTTTGAATGATGAATTTTTGTAAGAAATTTTAATAGAATTTACTTATAATCTACTTATTTAACTTTTATAGAAAACTTTGAGATTTCGTATACTTTTTTCCTTTTATTTCTGTAACATCCTAATTTTTATAATTATATTAATAATATGTAGTATTTATTTTAACATTTTAATGTATTTATTAGAAGAATTTTTAATATTATTTAGTTATTTGATATGAGCTTTATTTTGATATAAAACTTATGTTATTTCTACTAAAAGAGAGAAGTATATTTTATATTATTTATCTATTTTATAAGAGTTTTTTTTTCCAAAAAAAATATATAACATGATTTTTAATTAGTATTTTGATTAATTGATATGACAAGTATATTTATGAAAATATATTTTATTATGAGTTATGTTTATGTTATTTATTAAAAATGAGGAAATATATTTTTATTTTAATTGCTTTATGAGAAAGAAAGGAAGGATGTTGCGATCATTTGTTAATTATTATTTTATTATTATTATTATTTAAGTAAAAAAGGAGGTGTCTAGAGTCATTTTCTACATTTTTCATTTCTGACCCTATTCATTCCCTTTTTACGCTCTCTAAAGATCACGGAGAAGGAGATCAATCGAAGATTGCTGTTGCTTCATCTTCTGCTCATCTAGGTAAGGAAGAGTGAGAAATCTCACTCGAGGGTGTGTGAATAATTGTTGGGTTGCCAGATTGACCCCCAATCCCTTACTTGATGCATGCTTTAGAAACAGAAAAATTATGAAAGTTTTCTATTTTTCTTTTTGATTGTTTTGTTGCATTCCTTGTGTGATGTTGAGTGTAAATATGTGTTTAATTTCAAAAATAGATAAGTTTTAAACCATGTTTAAAGGTGCTAATGGTGTGAAAACTGTCTTATTATTGTGTTAATGCAAGTGATGTGTTTCTATGAGCTTGATGAGGATGGGAATCTCTTATATGTGACCTTGTGACTATGAGTACGAGAAATGTGAAATGTTGAGTACATGAGTTTGTGAATGTGTGACATGCATCATATAAATTTATGTGATGGGGTACGATATGAGGTACATTGTTAGGGAAGACTCTCTAAGTGTGAAACATCTTGAAGGAGTCCTAAAGGATAACGCGGTTTGGAAGACCCAATTCTACCCGTTTGTGTGCATGGGATGTATCTTGCGCGGCTTCGCTATCACGATGAGACCCTAATAGTACATCCTTCTAGTTGAGAGTGTGCAATTGAGCTGACATGTACTCTTAGACTACTCTTGGTATATTGCTTCGATAACATACAACATGATATGTGATTATGAGACACGTGACTGGCGCCACATGCATGCATTTATGAGTCGAGTCCATGACATCATTGCATGATAAATGAATGTGCATGTGATACTAATTTTGTATGTGTATTGTTATATTTGATTATGCTTATGACTTGTATTATGTTTGTTGTGTGTTGTCTAATATTTATTTTTCACCTGAACCTGGGTGAGATGTTTCTCACTCCTCTATTGCTCTTTGTATGTGTTTAAATTATATTGTAGGTAATTATCAGCATGAAGATGTTGGTATTGAGGCTTAAGCTTCAGTTGGGCGTGCTCTGATAGGATATGTGACATTAGAGCATAATTAGACTTAGTTTAGGCTTTCATTATTATTATTTTGTTTTGAAAAAACTCATGTTTCATTTTATTGTAAATTTCACATTTGACCATGATTTACCTTTACGAATGTGAATTCTTTACTCTTATATTTGTGGAACCATTGTTTTAATTCAAAATATTTTATTACTCCGAGAATATGATTTTATATTCTCCTCATTCTTCTTTCTTTTTCTCTCTCTCCATAATCTTCTTTCTTGCCTTTCTTGTTTCTCTCTCTTTCTCTTATCTCTTACATCTCCTCCTCCTCCTTTATCTTTATTTTTCATTTATCAATATTGATATATAATTTATTAATATTTTTATTATTAAAATTTAAAATCAAGTGTCATAAGCATTTCTCATGGTGACCATAGTAAAATAGTCCTTTGACTTTAAGTCACCGCAATTCCTACATGTAGAAGTTGTAAGCTTTGATGTTATCAAACATTATTCGTAACAAGGTGATAATAAAGGTATTTAATTGATTTTGCAATGAATCATGTGGAGAGATATGAGTTTTGTAGAAAAGATTCATCCCGAGTACATAACATGAGTTGTGCCTTTAGCCTTTTGATAAAGTGAGACACAAAACACGTGTGGTCACATGAAAATGAGTCAATATTAGATATTAACTCTATTTGTATTTGAACGTCTACTTGGATATCAAAAGACATATGATTGAACTTAACGAGAATGACACTTTTATATTTCGTGTTCAATTAAAGACATATGGATGAAGGGATTATTAACCTACAATGATTGTGGTTATAGAAGGTTAAACTCATATCATCATTATTAGATGTTAATATTTGTATATAATATTTAATATTATGATACTTAAATATTATTACTAATTAAGTGAAAACTTATGAGGTCATACACATAGAGAAAGTGTTTAGAGAAAATTTGAGGATTAATTAATTAAATGTGATTTAATTAATTGACATCAAGTTTAATCAAATAGATAGGATATTGAGTTTGTATTGTACAAACCCAACAATGAGGCAAATTAGATCAACAACAATTAATAGATAGGTTAACCTAGTCTTGCCTATGATCTACCTAAAAGAAATTGAGAAAGTCTTTTAGAGTTTTGTATCATCTCACAAAACATTATCTCATCCACCTTGTAGTTAGCACGGAAAACCCACTCTTATGTTGCTCACAAGGAGATACACTATTCTTCCTTTTGCCAAGGAAAGGAATTTCCAAAACGACATAAAGTGTGCTTCAAAGCTAAAACCCTTAGAGTAGTTCATGGTAGTGTGTGATCCATGGGGAGAAGTTCTTCCACTCATGGGATCTTGTAAAGAAATTCATTCAAAAACCTACCCATGAAACTCCAACAACTTAATTCTTATTTATAGTTGTTCATGTTTAGTTCATTAGATTATGAGCTCTAATAATTGTGACACCGGAATATGAGAATTGTTATGTTTTAATTTATTTTATTTTTGTCGGTTTCTCTTGGGATGTATGACACTACAACAAAATTATCATACAGTGACACACACCTTATAGTGGCACTATATATGTCACTAAAAATTACTTTTATCCACACAATAACTACAATATATGTTGATTTATTATTAAAAAGTGTGGGTATAGACTATAGTGACACACAAAATATGTTGTTAAATCTCATTCAAAATCAACACTAAAATTATGTGTAACTATATGTTAAATAGACATATATTTACATATATTGTACCTATAGTGACATTTTTTGTGTGTCACTACATGTAACATTTCTTGTAGTGTGACCTTTGGAATGTCAATTATCTTTATTAACTATTTTTTTAGTACAAATTGATATATTAAGGCATTAACAATGTAAACCATACTACTCATAATATTTTCAAAAATTGATTAGTTTCACATGTATATTTCAAAAATGATTTCCTTTATTTTCACAATTTCCTATTTATTAAAATGCTATGAAGGATAGATTAAGGGAGAACGATGAAACAAAAGATATACGAATTTATATTGATTCATTCTCAACTATCACTAGTACAAAAGAGGTGTATTACGTCGGAAATTTTCAGCTTTTTACGTCAGAAAACGTACCGACATAGAAGTGGGAGACGTAAATTTTACG